GGATTTGTGCTGCTGCGAACCAGGGGCGCACTTACAATGAGGCTCGAGATGGCCTTGAACTTGGGATGCGATGCGTCGACTGCGGGAGAGAGACGGAAGAGATTGTGAGTTTGGTGCTCATGTGTGCTGGCGCGGGGAAGAGAGGACTCACCGAGCATCTGGAAGAGCACCGACTCGGAGGTGGTGATCTTTGCGCCCGAGTCGCGCATGCGCTGCGCAGCGTCAAAAGGATCGACGAGTCAGCATGCGAGCGTGCAGAAGGAGAAAAGCAAGTCCGAGGCAGGCTCACCTCAAGGGCGACGTCGATCTCGCCTACGTTGCAGCTGGATACGCCGTCCTTGATGACGTGCACCTGGATGCCTCGTTCGAGCAGGTCGAGCGTGGTCTGGAGCACGCAGACGTGCGATTCGATGCCAAAGATGACGACGTGCTTGATGTCGCCTGCGCTCTTGAGCCATGCGTCCGTGATGCCGGGGAGGTCCATGCTGAACTTGGTCTTTGGGTGGACGGCTTTGGACGACAGTTCGGGCAGCTGCTTGACGAGGTCGCTCAGGGGAGCCACTGTAGCGCCGAGGGCTGTGAGGAGAGAAGGCGGTCAGTATCTTGTGGGTTTGTATTGTATTGTATGGTGGTGGAGGAGAGACGCACCCTTTGGATTCTGCTCTGTGGTAAAGACGGGCACGTCGAGGATGCTGGCGGCCTTGAGCATGCGTGCCGAGGTGTTGGTGATGAGGTCAAAGTTGGCGATGGCGGTGCGGAAGCGTTCCTGCATGTCGCACAGGAAGAATGCGGTCTTGGGAAGCTCGATGCGAGCCGTGCGGAATGCTGCGCCTGCCATTTTGTGTTTGTCGGTACTGCGAGGTGGTGGTGGTGGTGGTGGTGGTCGTTGCGCAAGAAGGCTTCTCTCCGGCTTTTCCAGTGCGGGGAAAGACGGCCGAACCGACAGCCGGGCCGATGTGGAGGCGAGTTTTTTTTTGGCGAATTTATGTTGCGAATAAAGATCTCACACTCTTCGTGAAATCGGCGCGCGTGGCTAGCGAGGATCGGCGTCGCAGGGTCCAAAAGCATCGGCGCGCGACACGCCTTTTCTGGAAATATTCCGACTGCACCGCGACGTGTTGCATGTCGAAGCTGGGCGAGTGGGCACGGCGATGCTGTGCTTTGCTTGGAGATGCTCGAGGTGGCATGGCTTGGCGGCGTATGGCCGAATCGCCGATGCAGTGCCCCCACTGCTTGGCCATGCTGTTGGCCGTCGGCGGTGGTGGCTTTGGCCAAGTGGATTATTGTGGCCCAGTGGACGCGTGCATTCTTTTCAAGAGGTGTGTTTTGTTTGCCAAAAATCGCCACCAACACCCACTCTGCGAACGTGCAAGGCATTCACCATCATCTCCACCACCATCCCGCAGCCATGATCGTCGTCAACATACCCACAGACGCCAGCGTCTCGCTCCCTCCAGAGCCTCGTCCGCGTTCGACGTTGGACACCGCATCCTCCTCCTCTAGTTCATCATCAGGTTCCAACACTCCACCATCCGGCTCCTCCTCCAGACGCCTCTCCCGCCGCGTACAGAGCATGGCCGTCGCAAACCTCCTCCGCGACGCATCACCCATCCCTTCAACCGCCCCGTCAACC